GCAAAATGAAGTCAGCATAGAAAGTTATATAGAACAAAGAATCCAGCAGTACCACAACAGAAACACAGATGACAGCAATCAATCCATACATACTGATAATTACACTGAATTAAAAATTGATTAAATATACCAATCAAGAGACATAAAGAGCAGATGGATAAGAAAACAGGGAACTTTCAATACACAATCTACAAGAAACATATCCTAAAGATGGAGGCAGCCTAATTGTCCATCAACAAAAGAATGGCTAAACAAACTTTGAATGATAAATCTGTGAACACCTCACATGGTTTAACCTGGAAGACATTATGCTGAATTAAATTAGTCAAACACAAAATGACAAACACTGTATGAGAAGAATGTTATAACAAGTTTTTTTTAAAAAAAGGTTTTAATGAAAGAAACTATCTGTGAAGGTTGAACAGAAGAGGGAAAATTATTCATAGACTAGAGGGTACACACATTTAACATGGGTGAGAGGGCAGGCAATATACAAGAAGGAGGTTAGCAAAGATAAAGCTGGTAGGAGACACCGGGAGGATCTCAATTGTTAGACTGAATACCCGCAAATACTGTTAACTGTTGATACATGGAGGGGATTGCAACCATATAATGAAGCAAAGTGTTATGGTTTGTTGAATTTTTAAAACTGATCTGCTATATAAACCTTTACTCAATTCACAATAAAAAGAGAGAGAGATAAGAAAATAGTTATAGAAAAGTAAAATAAAAAGGGAGAAGCAAACAAACAAAACACTCAGGGGCAAAAAGAAAAAAAACAGAGAGGGAGAAGATGAAAATAGAAAGCTTCTCACTGAAGTTGAAGATGGTTGTGTTCCATCTGGAAGGCCTCTCCCCAATCAGTCTTTCTTCTTGTCCCGTTGTCTCTCCTCAGCTCCTCCTACTAGTAAACACTCAACCCACTTCTCTAATCTTTAGAGTTTCAAGATTTTTTTTTTTTTTTTTAAAGTATATATGCCTTTGTTGTAGATGGTCCATGTATTTTGTCTGCCCAGTCTGCCATCTTGCTGGAAGTCCTTTGTGGCATTACATTTTTGAAAATTCTCACCTGTCATGCTATGGTGTTTTGGCATAAGTTATCTAAAGAAACCTGATCTTCTGTATCCCTGCTTGAAGGAAAAACATTTCAATAACCTTCTCATATCATTATGTATAATCTTTTGATACTACGCCAAAAGTTGACAAGTAGCTGTCTCCTAAGCGTTACAATATGAATACATAAAACCATTAAGAACGTCTCACTTTATATTAAAATCCACTAGCCTATCCTGCATTTCAAATGGGTCTCTATCCCCTTTGCATTTGTCATTAGAAAATAATTATTTTCTGAGTTATACTGACATTCAATATACAATAATTTTAAAAATCACATTAAGATCCTGACAAGATTCATCAAAAAGTTTTTAAGTATCAGGAAGCTGTCAAGCTCACACTGTCAGAAAAAAATTCTAATTTTTAAAAGTTTCATTATTGTTAACATGTATTTTTATCATTTTCGAAGTGATAGGCTCACATAGTTGAAGAAACAGGTTGCCAAATACCCAAAAATGAAAGGCAATAAGTTTGCCTGTCAGTCATTCTTTCAAGTAAAAATAATGTTCCATGAAAAAGTGGCCCTTTGATAGTTTATAATGCAAACAAAGTGTACATATGCTTTTCCTGAAGGCAACCATCACATCATTACTTCTGTACCTATTTGTTCAATGTTGTTTTAGTATGTAGCATTTTATAAAAAATTCCTCCTGGTGTGGTGCTGCAGGATAATGCACTGGATCACAAGGTCGATTTGAACCTCAAGGTGGCAGTTCAAACCCACCAGCCATTCCTTAGAAACCCTACACAGCGTGGCTATGAGTCCAAACCGACTCGACAGCACTTAACACAATATTTCACTACCCAGAACAAAAGACATGTACAGGTACATTGTTAAAAGGTATAACAAAAGGGAGTCCCACCTACCTAACCCATGATCTTCTCAATGACTTCGTATACATGCAAAATTTGAATAAGACATAAAAATCTAAGTCCAAATTATAATGTTGTTAATTATAATATTGAATATACATGGACTGCTGAAAGAACGAACAAATCAATCTGAGAAGGGTCTTAGTAATGAAAATGATAAAATTTAAACTTGCTTACGGTGGACTCGTCATCGACTACTTGCAAAGAAAGGACATCTGGTTTGTTAGGGGGCTAGTGGATAAGAAGGAAACCCTCACGAAGGTAGACTGACATAGTAGCTTCAACAATGGGCTCAAATATACAGAGAATCATAAACAATGCAGGACTGGGCAATATTTAGTTCTGTTATACATAAGATTGCCACGAATCAGAACAATCTATGAAGAAACAGCTCCTCACTGTGAATCAAGGGTCCTGATTTAATGAAATTATGAAGTTTCACATCTGCAGCAACTTTTTTCCTTTTAGATTCCAGGACATGAAGAATACAATGACTACTAATAATTTACCTCCATTGCCACTACCAAGTTTCATACATCATTGTTTTTCTGACTGTATAGATGTATGAAACTCCATTGATGTAGTGGCAACAGAGGTCTATCATTGTATGACAGGACAGGGTTTCTGAGGAGTGGCTGATGGGTCTGAAAGGCTAACTTGCGGTTAGCAGCCCAGTGCTTATCCTACTGCACCACACAAGGAACCCCGCTGTTAAGTCATTGTTGTTAGGTGCTACAGATTCGATTCTGACTTACAGCGACCCCATGGCACAAAAGAACCAGAACACAACCCTGCCCAGTCTTGCATCATCCTCACAATCGCTATGTTTGAGCCTGTTGTTGCTGTTGTCAGTTCATCTTGTTTGGGGTCTCCCTCTTTTTTGCTGATCCTCCACCCCAGAGTCACTGTTTTGACTGGACCCGTGTTTTAAAGACACCGTAAGACTAAATCAACTGTATCATTGATAAACTTCTCCACAGCCCTCCAATGATCACAGAAACATGGTAAAACACATTTTGTTAATAACAAACCCCTGCATGTATGAACTGATACTCTAGAAGCAATGCTAGTTTTGACTTACCTTTGAATACAGGAATATAGACGGAGATGTAAACACTAGTGTTCACTGCAGTTCTTTCACAATAGCCAAGAGGAAAGCAACCATGTTCATCCAGAGAAAAATGGATCAACAAAACGTGTATGCCTAAGATGGACTGTTGTTGTTGTTGTTGTTATGTGCCGTGGAGTCGGTTCCGACTCATAGCGACCCTGCACAGGGTTTCCGAGGCTGTTAATCTTTACGGGAGCAGAACGCCTCATCTTTCTCCCGTGGAACCGCTGGTAGTTTCGAACTGCTGACCTCACGGTTCACAGCCCGATTCGTAACCACTACGCTACCAGAGCTCCTAGAGAAATCAAAATCTGATGCATGACATAACATGGTTGAACCTTGAAAATCAAAGATTATCAAGGGTTGCTTGGGATATGGGAAGGAATTCTGTTGTAGCACTGTGGGAGAAAGCATTGGACTGAAACGTGGGTTTGAACAAGGTCAGCAGTTCAAACTCACCAGCTGCTCCATGGAACCCCTAATACAGGGTCCCCATTAGTAAGAACCACTTCAGTGACACTGAACAACTACAAGAGGAATGTGGAAAGAGTTTTTGCTCAAGGGGGCATTGAGTCTATGCTATAATGGTGGAGTATTTTGGAAAAGGACAGGGATAATGGTGGCACTACATGAAAAATATAATGTCACTAAAAAGTAACTGGAAGCTGTGCTATGGAATGTTCTGTAGCACATCTTTCACAATTCAAAAATAAAAGAGATTTAGCTATATTGATAGAGCTCTGGTACCACAGCGGTTACGAATCAGGCTACTAACCTCAAGGTTGGCAGTTTGAAACTACAAGGGGTTCCGCGGGAGAAAGATGAGGCTTTCTGCTACCGTAAAGATTTACAGCCTTGGAAACTCTGTGCAGGGTCGCTGAGAGTCTGAACTGATTCCATGGTACTTAACAACAACAACAGCTATACTGATAGCCATATTAATTAAGGGAGCCCTGGTGTGGCGCTTTAAGGTAAGCACTGCACTGTGAATCACAAGGTTGATAGTTCACGCCCACCAGCCACTCCGTGAGACAAAGATGAGGAACTTTCTGCTTCAGCAAAGGTTTAAAGCCTCAGAAATCCTATGTTGTTGTTAAGTGCTGTCGAATCGGTTCCGATGCATAGCAACCCTGTACAGAATTTCCAAGGAGCAACTAATGGGTTTGAACCACTGACCTTGCATTTAGCTGCCCAGTGCTTATCCTACAGCGTCACACCAGTGCTCCATACAGGGTCACTATGAGTTGAACTCGATTCCACGGCACTTAAACATGTAAAAAGTTGTGTCTTACCCTCAGTGTTCTCAATGACTTTACTTAGTAAAACTTTGTGTTTCAGCTTTAAAATAGAAACTTTCCTCTCTTTCGAGATTAGGAAATCAAAAACAGAAACCACTAAAACTTCAAATGGTGTTTTTTAAAAAATAAATGTTTATTTTAAGTAATAAAGTAATGTTCAAACATTATCCAAAGCTTGTGCTCCATTTAACAAGTAAAAAAGAATACTTCTGAAAAAAAGTTTACAATTAGGTACAAAATACTTGAGAATATACTTTGACACTCACTGGGTATTTTTAAAAAATAAGTTTTGCTAATGTAGCTGCTGAAACAAGATATTCACAGCGTCAGTTAAAATAAACAAGTCATTAATGAGAAGTGTCATTAATGGACCGTTTGCCTTCCAAAATAAGACTTGCGTAAGAACTCCCTTTAGAACTACGGTAAACTTGGTTCAGCAATGTAGACATCCAAATACCTTACGTTCTCCCTGACAAATATCATTTATTTACATCTGTGGATCCACAAACGAGGTTCGCAAGCCACGGTAGTTAATGAAGCATCTAGTGGTACCCATACTGATAGAGAAACACTCATTGTGGCAATTACAGAATCACACCTCATAATTATTGTAAAGGGCTATTACCAAGGCTTCTACTTTTCTGTTCCATGTACATTTTTCTGAAGGTTGCAAACACTTCCTTTGAATCTTTTCCTGTGTTTTGTATTGTCTCAATTCCATCTGCACTGATGCTTCTCTTCGGATGTTTCAATTTCGGTAAATCCTTGTTATCTAAAGACACACACAAAATTTATGCACCCCAATGTGAGGTATGGCAATATTGAAATAATCAAATTTAAGAGGACAAAATAGGCATCTATCACCTATGAGTTGTGTTTAGGACAGTACACAAGAGGACAAGGCGCTAAATGTTTAGCAGATAAAACCTACTCCTCACTTAATCAACTATCTTGTTAATCAGCATTTAACATTTATGACAAAAGTAAAAAATCTACTTTCCAACTGTTTACCATATTAAAGACAGACATCTGGCAGTAACAAGCACTGAGGTGCGGGGCAGGAGTAGCACAGACTGTGATAGTTAGATATCCATTTGGCTGAGCCATGGTTCTCAGTGGTTTGGAAGTTGTGTAGGAATTTGATAGTTGTCTAATGATGCAATCAGCCTCCATTTTCCCATACGCATAATGTCCTAGTTTTTGGAACCTAACCGTGTTGGTAAGTGAGGTGTAGATGTATTGTTCTTTACCTGCCAACTATAAATTACATGCATAGGCTCTGGTAGCGTAGTGGTTACGAATCGGGCTGTGAACCTTAAGGTCAGCGGTTCGAAACTACCAGCTGCTCCGCGGGAGAAAGATGAGGCTTTCTACTCCCGTAGAGATTTACACCCTCGGAAACCCTGTACAGGGTCGCTATGGGTCGGAACTGACTCGACGGCACTTAACAACAAGGCTATACTTTACCTCTCCTTTTGGGGCTCTTTACTATTCTCAACATCACATCATCACTGTCCAGGTGTGTTCTGATCCAGACCACTTGCCAACATTTGCACACTTTATTGTGACCAGGGTCTTTTTAATAACTATCTAGAGCACAAATGCCAATCAATTCAGATCAGGGCATCAACCAGTTCAGTCAGGGGTAACAAAGCAAAACTGGGATTGGACCAAAAATTGTTAACTTTGGGTAATCCTGAATGCTACTTGATGGGAAAAGTTATAGGGTGAAGTCTCAGCATGGGAGATTCTGAAGAGGCATACTATGCCCTTTCAGGAGTCTGGTACATGCCACTGGACTTGTACAGTAACATTATTTTCAAAGCAGTGCAGTTGGCCACCAGCTTTGAACCAGACACCAGTGTTTTTCACTCAGCCTGTCAAGACATTTGGGTGCTGTGCAATGCACACGATGTACTTGTATACCAAGAGAAATATGGAGTTTCTAAAAAGGTTTTGGGCTATAATTCCCCCCATTCTGGTAAACATTACTGTTCATCTACCTTCAAATAGTTCAGGTCTGTTCCGGTATGGCTTTGTCAGCCATGACTGGACAGGAATGAACTGGTTTTATAGCACTGCTTCAAGCAGCTTTACAGTCAATGGGAAGGGCAGCTCTAATATTCTAAGACATGCCGATGCTTTTCTGCCTGTTTCTTTAGACCTACTGAGGGTTTTGTTATGCTCAACTATTCTAGCTTTGATGGCCATAGCTTTTCCTGCCTCTGTGCATTCCTAGATCCGATTTAATCTCATTAACATCTTTCCCTTATTAATAAATCCAAGACTTGTAATTCCTGTTCTTGCCATAATTTATGGATAATGCAGTCTCGGTTTTCCTCTTACTGCCTAGGTGGATCTTTGAGACACTACATTTCAGTCAAGTATTCCGTCTTGAATAATTCTCTATTCAAATTCAAATCTTTCCTAGGCCTCATTTTCCTGACTCTGTAATGTAGATGCCTAAGATGTGTTTCAATAGTTGATTTCTATTAGGTCTATCACATCCTGCACAGCTTGTTTTTACCTTATTTATTTCTCAATGGGCACCATTCACATTTCAAATTTATATTCAAGCTTATTTAAAAGATTTATATATAGCTCTTTGGAAGCATGTGCCATTTTTCTGACCTAATTCTTGCCTGGCTCACTGTTTATCTTAAGCGTAGATTTCATTTTTTATTCTGCACCAAAGACATGCATTGTTCAGGGTTAGTTCCATTTGTCTCAAATGTCTTTTAGGTTTCATACTTCCATTTTCTTCCTTCCACCTTAACGAATCAGTCGACACTGATTTCTATCTCATGATAGCCTACGCTGCTTTTCGCTCACCTTGCTTCAGATTTTATTTTGCACTGTGCTCAGGCTTTTGTTTCTTCTTGCTGTAACTCTTACAGAAAAAGTCTGCTAATACCAACCCCGTATTTCACTAGTTTCTTATGTAATTATTTTCTTACCAAAAACAAATAAACCAGTTTCCTACATTACAGGGTTGCCACCATTCATACATGCAAACACTGACTGAAAAGAGCATGAGTAAATTATTTCATAATAGGTTCATAATTATAATCTACCTTACAAAGCAGAGTGGTAATATAAGCAAAATAAAACATTTAAATAAATTATTTTACCTATTTTTTGATTGGCTTCCTGCATCCTTCGCTCTTTATTAGCACATTTTAGCCAGGCGTCTTTACTTTTCATTCCTGAAACTATTTAAACATTCATTTTCAGTTCAAGAGATTGTTACTTATCTGTTTTAGTATTACAATAAAGGAAAATCATGGAAGTACCACAATAGATGTTAAAAAGACTAGATGTATCCAAATATAATCCTAAAAAAAGACCAGGAAAAATGATTTCTCTTATAAGTGCTTTAAATACTTGGATTTAAAAATTAGTTGCTTCAAAAGTTTATCTTTATTATATAATTGTTTCTCCCACTTAAACTGAATATACCAAGACATTTCAGAACACATGAGATAAACAAAATCGTATTGTCAAACCTATTTCAATTCATCCCTTACATCCATCTTTTAAGAATCTGGTTGAAAAAATATACTGAAATCACTTAAAAGCAAAAACATTTACTTTGTAATCAATTTCATTACATATCCCTATCATCACCTTCCAAGATAATGTATCCTTTGTATGTTGTAGTATAGGCTTGTGCACAGATACTCTGAAAAGCACTGCAGACTAAAATGTCTTACTCAAATCTTTAGCTCCAATCTGAATTTCTTAGTACAGTGATTTCTGTATCTAGTATCTCTATCCTAGCTATTTGTTTTCTCTCTTCTACATTAAGTCTAGTCTGGCTTTAGACAATTACAATACATGACAAGACTGTTCCCAAAGTCCTACATCATGAGCAGACTAGATATTAACATTTAAACTTTGTTGTGGAAAAGCGCCGTTGAGTCAGTTCTGACCCACAGCAATCCTATATAGGGTTTGCAAGGGGCAGCTGGTGGGTTTTAATTACCGACTATGCATTAGCAGTCCGGTGCTTATCCTAACAGTGCCACACCAGGGCCCCATTTAAACTTAAATGCTACCAATTTAACTTCACTGGTAACACGACTGCTTCAAAATGACAGTAAGGCAAACCACTTATATCCATAGGAACAAAAAATATTAAACTAATAACCATTAAATATTGCATTAATATTCAGAGCAAAAATTACAAATTCATGGTGCGACAATACAAAGTCCAATGGAGAATCTACAAAAGCCAGGCTCTTAAAATAATGTATATTGGCATGTTTCTAACTTTGTATTCGGCAAATTATACAATGTTAACACACCTCATTGTTATTTACTATAGCTTAAACAAATTTTGCCCAATGAAGCATTAGTATACTGAGATTAACAAACACAAAGTAACGGCAAAATACATCAGAGCTACCCAGATGAGAGTTGATAACCCACTTATTGACATGCAGATAACTCTTTACCACCAAGAAAATTATACTGGACCTTGTAGAGGTGCTTGTTCTGTCTTAACAGGCTTCAGTTTCTTTCCTTCTTCACCAACATTAGTATTCTCAAATAGTACATCTGGGCATAACTTGAACTCCAGCATTGCTGAGTTTACTATAGTATCTCTCACAGGTAAAAGACTTTTAGATTTATTTTCTTGCGTCCTCTCTCTATCAGTATTAGGCTTTCTGGGGGAATTGTCCAATTTTGAGAGAGAAATGCTCTCTTGTTCAATGCATTTAAATGCAACCCTGTTCAGGTATTGTTTCCTTTGATCCTTTGCTTGGGGAGCCCTTGGAATGACTTCATCTTCACTGTTTATACTGGGTAAATGTTTGACTATTTTGGTTTTATCCATCCATATTTTACCAGTCTGCTTCCCACTACCTTTTTCTTTAACATTCTTTGAACTCTTATGTTTTTTAGACTCCTCAGAATGGTGGGTCTTAAAGGTTTTACCATGGCTTGTTGAAATATTTGATGATTCTTTAGAAGTCTGTATGCTACTGTCTCTTTCATTTAATTTCCCACAACCCTCTATTCGCAAGGAATGTTTACGAGGTATGATGTATTCAGTATTGCATGGCACATTTTTCATTTTCTCAATTATACAGCTTTTCTTTGCCTTATTATGTACTGCTTCTTTATGCTTCTGCCTTTCTAAATATTCCTTAGGTGTTAAAACTCTCTTAATTTTACATGAACTCTCCTTCGAGTCTGAGGACTTAACATTTGAATTTGAAGATTTCATTAAACTTCTATGGATATTGACTTCCAGGTTTGTGGATTTTACTTCTGTTGACACTGTCTTTTCCTTAACACTGGTTCTTTCACTTGAGTCTGCCAAAGAATTATATAATTGGAATGAATTTCCCCCATTTTTATTCTGTTCCTGCTTATCATGTTTCTTCTTCCTTTCTATAGCAAATGTATTTCCGTGGTCTGGCTTCCTGTTTTCTAAAAGTTTATACCTGGAGCCTCCCGCTTTGAATTTCAATTTTATCTTCTCTGGTACATTTTTCTTGTACATTTCTTTATTTGTCAAAATTACCGTCTTTGCTTTTAGTGGACATGAGTTTTGTGCAGTATGTTTCTTGTGCAGGCTTTCTTCAGAATCTTGTTCACAAAATTTCATCATTTTACTACTGGAGTGGAAAGTTACTTCATGGAACTTAAATTTTCTTTTTCTTTTGTGACTCTGCAGGGGAGGATCTAGTTTTTTATCACACTTAGATGAAAACTGATTAGGTGATTCTTTTCCTTTCTTTAGTGAACTGCTATGTTTTGTTTTGGGCTTATCTTTTATACTTTTGTCTTGTTGTATTTCATGATTAACATTTTTCCCATCTGGAAGAGTCACAGAGGTTTCCAGATCCTTATTTGGAGAACTATTACATTTAACAATAGTGATGTCTCTATCAGAGGCAATATCACCTTGTTTACAACTGTTGGTCTCTAGTGGGAAACACGGATCTTTCTTATTTTCTTTTGAAGCCAAGTTTTTGATGGAATTACACTGACACTGGGGTACTCCTTCATAAATCAAAGAGAGCCAACCCAATGCACAGCAGTGGATATCATCTTTCTGATCATTTGATACCACAGAATCATGATTCTCTCCTGCATGTGCTTTTGGATCACACTTGCCCCCTACTTCAGTGGAAGGCTTTTCCTTTGGAGGTTGTATCAAATTGTCTCCATCATTGGGTTTATCATCCTGTTCAGAAAATAATTCTTTCATCTGCTCTGAGCTTATTACTGTAATTTTTATTTCGTCTGTTGAGTCTTTGGAGTCACCAGCAGTTTTATCACAACTGGGATTTTTTGATATTTGGTCTGTTATTTGCTGGCCCACAGCAGCTTTGAGTGAGTTAACTGGTTCAATGCCATAGGGAAACTCTTTTAAAAGTTCTGACAGCTGATCATGTAGGTATAATGTAGGTATAATGGATGTCTTATCATTGAGAACTGCACTGTTTGCAGGATCTTGATTAGTATAATTATTGGGTGTATCAGTTTCTGGGATATCCTGTTGAACAACAGTCAAACAATCCATATCTCTAGTCTTGCTTTCTTGGTTAGTGATACACTCCAATTTCTTTTCCTCTAGACTTTCTCCTTTTGCTTCAGCAGACTTCAGTGATGGTGATCCTGAAGATGACAGAGACTTTGACTGACAAGTTATTTTAGAGTTAGTATCTGTGATCTGTACAATCTTTTCTTTTTGAAATGCAAAGTTTTTATTTGCTATAGTTTCATCTAGTTGTTCTTTCTGTTGTCTACAGCTAATAACTTGCTGATCAGGTAAAGATTTCTGTGGTTCAATCTTATCCAGAGACGAACAGTTGAATATCTTTGCTATTTGGGAATTATAAGATAGTTCACCTTCAACAAGAGAACAGATACTCGCAATCTGTAATGTATCACCACTCACAACAGTCCTATTGCTTGATTCATAGGAGACTTGCTGATTGCCACTCACACGGGGGCAAACTGAGATGTCTGCATTTGAAGAGGAGTGAACACTCACTTTTGATTTGGTATGTTTTCCTTGAAAGGCATTACGTATATCTTTTGAACTACAATTAGTTGACTTGTCCTGCTTTTCCTTTTGAATTACTGGAGAAATCTTAGTTGATGGTGTAGGACTTGCCACTAGTTCATTAACATTAGCTTTCAAAGGAGCAGTTACACTCTTATTTTCTGCCAATTGATTTTGTAAGCTACAAACACTCCCTTCTTTAATAACTGGGTACACTGTTTCAGGTAATACTTCAGTTGTCATTCCCTTGACAGATAATGCTTTGACATCTGAAAGAATTAGAGGTGACACTATAGCAATCTGAAGTTCTGATCCCTTTGTTATATTTGTACCTGAAGGCTCATAATTCTGCATTGCCACTGGCAAAGTTGCTCCTTGTTCTGAGTTATTTAACATTTTATCTTGAGAATTTCCCACAACGGCACATGGATTCTTATCATAGATGTCTACAGGATTTGAAATGTTAACTGTTGTTCTGTTTGTTTTCAACTCATTGCACAGTTTTTCTTCTGTATCTTCTGAAGGTTGTTTTTTCCACAGAGACAGACATGTTGTTAGCAATTCTATGGAACAGTGACTGTCACTTTTAGAAGACATTCCATCTGTTGAGGATTTCTGATCAAGGCAGAAATTATGTTTATTAGACGCACTCTGAATTTTCATGGTTTTCAAATTTGGTGGTTCACCTGTAGCTTGGGTATTCGCTTTCACTTCAAAATTATCTGGTTTAGGAGTTAATATAATTTTGTCCTTATTTTTATCTCTAAATATAAAGAAACTGAGTAGAGTCTTTTTATTTGCAGGTTGTGAAACAGGCTCCTTAAAAAGTACTAACTGTGGAGCGGTAACTGTTTCGGAATTTGTTGTCAGATTTTGGTCACCTCTAACATTCTGTGATGGAGATTGGGTACTATTTAATGTCTGGGTAATTTCAACAGCTGATGTCTTTAAAGAAGCTTGCAAGTCATGAAACGAGTCTTTCACTGGTATCTTTTCCAAACAGTCAGAGTTTAGTAAAGTAGGTTTGTCTTGGTCAAACTTTTTGCAATTAATATCCTGAATGTTGGAATTCAATGTATAGGGCGCTCTATTTGATTCTTCTGCACATTTCATTACAGTTGTTAGTTGACCCTCTGAAATCTTTGGGGTCACCTGGGTTAGCTGTGGCCCTGAAGGGACTTTGGAAGTCTCTTTCAGAGGTGATTCAGAATTCTGGGTTGATTCACCATGAGAAGGTACTTTACTACAACCTGCTGCCATCAAAAGTTTTTTATTTATTTTAATTTTCCTTGCAAGTTCAAAAAACTTCTTTTTCATTTCTATCAATGCTTCAATATCACTCACTAATCCTTCTTTTGTGACATTTGTGCCCAGTACTTGATTTGATGTTGAACTGCCACACTCCATTCTCTTATCTTGACTACTTTGAGCAACAGTCTGAACACCATCCTCAAGAGATCTAACTGGTTTATCAGCAGGCTTATTTACATTTCCATCTATATGCAAATTATAAAAATTTTCATTGGTGCCAATGTTTTCACTTACTTCCAAATTACAAAGATTTCCAATCGTAGTTGCTTCTTTATTAGGGTTTTGCCCCTGTTGTTGAAGCCCTCTATAAATGTCCTGCAAAATATCAGTTATGTGTGCTTCTTGATTCTGAGGATCTTCCATAGGTGAGTGTTTACTAGCATGCTGACTATTTTGCAACGGTTGGCTTGCATACTTACAGTCATAAGTAGTAGTAGGAGGTTTGTTATCAATTTGAGGAACTGCATATTGCTGTGGCTGTACAAGTACATTCCGTTGTGGCTGTACAGGTGCATTCTGCTGTGGCTGTACGGGTGTGTTCTGCTGTGGCTGTACAGCTGTGTTCTGTACAGGTATGCTCTGCTGTGGCTGTACAGGTATATTCTGCTGTGGCTGTACAGGTATATTCTGCTGTGGTTGTACAGGTATATTCTGCTGTGGCTGTGCAGGTGCATTCTGCTGTGGCTGTACAGGTATATTCTGCTGTAGCTGTACAGGTATATTCTGCTGTGGCTGTACAGGTATATTCTGCTGTGGCTGTACAGGTATATTCTGCTGTAGCTGTACAGGTGCATTCTGCTGTGATTGAAAAAACTGTTCAAAATTTGAAAGTGAATTATTTTTAGCATGTAACATTGCAGAGAGCATAGGGTTTTGTTTCTGAAGCGTAGGACCTCGTAATGATCTTTGCTGTGAATAACAGTGCTGCTTTGAAAGTGATCTATAATCTGGAAATGGCAATCCATTGGATGTATGCTGTTGTGGCCAGTTAACTTGTCGCTCTGATAAAGATGGGTTACGTCCTTGATAAATTACAGGACCTCTTACAGAATTAGAAGGAATAATTTGTAGCTGCATAGAATAAGTATTTGATGTTACAAATTGATTCTGTAGCACAGGAATATTGGATGTATTAGCTCCCAAACCCATTTGATTAGATACAATTGATCCTGTATGAGAATGCATAGGATTCCTTGCTGGTGCATTCAACCATGCATTTTGTGCAACCCCTGAAGATGTCTGCGAACTATGGTTTAGTTGTTTGGGTCCTGGAACATTTGGGTATATTTTTCTTTCTACCAATGTTTGTGAGGCCACACTTGTTCCATTATGCGTATCAGAAACAGACATTTGTTGAGGCATTGCATAATTTTTTATGCTGAGCAGTGGCTGAGAAACTGGATTTGAATTACTGGAAAACATGCAGGTTTCTTGGTTACTTCCAGGATAGTTGAAAGAACTCCGAGATGGTGAGGCAAGTGGGTTTACTGAAGTCTGGTGCAAAAACGAGGACTGGTTTTTAGGATACAGTGGTGGCATTGTAGCACTCTCTGGTTTTGCATTCCAATTCATTGTTGATTTGATATAGTTGCATATACTAACTATCAGTTGTTTTCAACATCAATAACCTGTAAGAATGAAAAATCTTTGATTAAAAAGCTGTTTTGCCTACATAGAACTTCTAAGAAAATTATTGACTATATCAACCATAATTCCTACCTTATTGAGTATACAAAAACAACAAGGATGCAACTATGAGGCAACTGTCAATAAACTCCTGGGGTGTTTAACATTCATTTTACACAACTGTTAGCTTTTGTCTTTTAAAACTAAGCAACAATTACTTTCTGCTTTTATTCTTATTTCAACTAGCTCTTTATTCAAAGTACACCATGCATATACTGCTTTGAAAAAAAAAAAGGAAAAATTTAAATACTACAAAAGAGAATATCTTAAAAATTCTTTATTGTCAATCCCCATTACCTAACTTCCCAGGGGTATTCATTGTTACCTATAACTCACAAATTTTCTATATATTAAAAAATGCAAAATCATAAAATCTCAACTTTTCAAACAAATGGAATCCGTACTAAACATAATTAGCTTAACATTTACTATACACCTCAAACATCTGATCTTGTGCACAAATACTGACTTTACTGCCTATTAGCAGTATCACTGGTAAGTAGCACTCCATCAGTGAAGCAGCCCCTCCAGTGATTAACAATTGTGTCTCTTTACGTTTTTGCTCTTACTAATTAACCTACATCTTTTATTTATATATATATATATATACTTGTTACTGTTAAATGCTGTCGAGTTGGTTCCGACGCATAGCAACATTATATAGGGTTTCCAAGGAGCAGCTGGTGGGTTTGAACTGCTTGCAGTCCACTACTGATCCTACAGCGTCATACCAGGAGTATATATACTTAATACATATTGAAATTTGTGCCCAAACCATCTATAAATTCCTAGAAGCGAAGTAAATATGTCAGGGAGCATGAAAATTCTTTCTTTTGATAAAGACCAGATAATCTAGTTTCCAAAAAGGTTTAAATGACTTACACTTGTACAAAAAGTTTATTGACACATGCAAAACAAATAAATCCACACCACAGAGGCAGATCAGCTTTCAACAAAATTTAAACAAAATTGACTTAACAAACATTAATAGCATACACAACTGCAGAATATACTTTCTTCTCAAGTTCACATAGAATGTTCTAGCAAAATTGGCCATAAAGCTGGGTCATAAAGCAAATGCCAAATTTTAAAGGATTAAAATAACTCAAGAATGTGAATCCAGAAATTAAAGAAAAAAGAGTAACTAGAAAAAGTGAAATAATTGAAAAATAAGTAATGTGCTTCTAAATGACTTCAGGATAATTCAGAGCATGAAAGACATGATTTTTAAAGCCTGGAAAATGATCACATTTATTCTCAGGAAAGGAGAAAAAAAATAAATTAACCCAAAACAACAGTTTCAACAAAGTCACAAGTTTGTTCTTTAAAAAGAACAAAACCAATAAGCCTCTGACCAGTCTAATTTGGGGCGTGGGAGGGTGGACAGGGGTAAACAAACAGAAGTGATCTCAGGAAATAAGGCTAACACTAGATCTTATAGTCCTTAAAGTCTTAAGTATACACTTAAAGCAACTTTACTAAAAAGGAACTTAAAGTTATCTACAAAAATGTAGACTGACAAGACAATAATGCTACTATCACCCCTTCCCCATTCATCATTATACTAGAGAAGAAAAGACAGGTGAAAGCAGATGCCATACATAGCACAGGACCATCAGGAGAAACTGACACATTGACAATGAAATGTATAAGTACTTTCCCTCCAAACACAGAGCCTTCCACTTGAGTATCTAGCCTACTAATTGTGAAGAAATAAATTTCTGTTACATATATGGAAGGCAAGAAGAGACCCCAGGATTCACACTTTCTGATTTCAAAACATGATGGTTTTAAAGAACCCAAATCCCCAGAGTGTGCAGCGTGGTTCTGCGGCATATCCCGATCCTTGCAGTGCCTCTTCTTCAGCCTCCTCCTGAGCTCATTCACCTGCCCAGCAGCTGGCACAGGTCAGTGCCTGCCACTGGTACTCCATTCCTGTTTGGGGGCATTGGCCAGGCTCCAGATGCTCACAGACTCCCAGCTATGACCAGCAGCTGCACATGATCAGGAAGTGACTACAGAACAGCGTAAACAATAGCCAGGTCCACTACTGCTGGTCCTGGTCCCCTCCCCACCTCTCTGCATACTCCCACTCACTCTCCCAATGCTCTGCACTGAGTGAAGTACAAAGTCCCAATCCAGCAGCTGATACAGGTTTTACCAGGTGAAGCCACGTATCTGGCAAGGGCAACGTTCCTTATCCAAGGGATACAGTTCTAAGGTTTTGTACAGAGGGCTACAATAAGGTTGACGTTTAATAGGAGTCCTGGTGTGACACTGTAGGATAAGCACTGGACCACAAGGTCAGTTTGAACTGCAAGGTCAGAGAATTCTAGCCTACCAGCCGCTCCTCAGAAACTCTATTCGCTCCTCAGAAACTCTATTCGCTCCTCAGAAACTCTATTCGGTAGCTATGAGTCAGAACTGACTCAATGGCACTAAACAACATAAAAGGCTTTACAGGCATTAACTGTGGGCTTTATAGGAACTGACTGCATTTATTCACACAATGTCCTAATTACATAATGGCTTCTCTTACAGAACGTTTCATGAATGCTAAGTAGTACGTACCTGAAAACACAAAGACAGACCACACACACACAAAACCATGGCCGTAGAGTTAATTTCTGACTCGTGGCCACCCTACAAGACTGAGTACTACCCTTTAGCCTTTCCATGGCTGGAATTCTCAAGGAAGCTGACCGTCACACCTTTCCTTCATATAGTAGCTGATGGCTTGTAACTGCCAACCTTTTGGTTAACAGTCAACCTCTCTACCACTGCACCACCAGGGCTCTCGTGCAAATTCATTCAAAGCCAAACACCCACACACTCCTATCAATTGAATCTGACTCAGAGAGACCCTATAAGAAAGCAGACCTGTCCCATGGGGTGAAGTCTTTAACAGAACCAGACTGTCACGTATTTCTCCTGTGGAGTGATTGGTGGTTCAAACCACAGACCTTTCCGTTTGCAGCAGAGTACTTTAACCACTGCGCCATAGGATATTGTTAGTGGTGGTGGTGATGTGCTGGGGAGTTAGTTCCAACTTATAGCAACCCTGTATAGGGTTTCCAAGGCTGTGAATTTTTAATGGCACAGAAAGCCTCATCTTTCTCCTGGTAGTTATTAGATGCAGTCAAGTTGGTTCTGACCCATAGTGACCCTGTTGTGTCTCAATTTACCCAGATGACCACTCAAGACTCTCAGGATCAGCAAGGAAGCCTTTATTAGCTGGCCAGTGACTACAGCCTCCCTCAACATGGAAAAGACTGCAGCCCTGACCCGGATCTTCAAAGAGTATTTATACACAGGCAGTCTGACATTATCTTGCACAAACCAGGGGTAGGGTGTGTGCATAAGCCATTAAGAGAAGCAAAAATAAGCGGTGGTTAGGGTGGGGAGGGGAGGTGCAGCTGAGAAAAGTCCCTTCTTAAAACTTTCCACTCAGGCAGGACTTAAGCATACTGCAGGGGCTACTCATGATTCAAAATGGAGTCAGTCAGGCCAACTTTACAACCCTACATAGGGTTTCCGAGGAGCAGCTGCTGAGTTTGAACTGCCGACCTTGAGGTTCAAACCAACCTTGTGGTAGAGCACTTATCCTATAGCACCACTGCAGGACTCCACATAGAAACAAAAAATTCTAATAGATACCAGGATTGGAAGTGTGAGGAAAAAGGGACAAAGTTTATGTTAATGATGATGGAATTATTTGGAAAAGAATGGCAATGATTACAGAACATGAAGAATGTAATCAATGTTACTACTAATCATATGTGTAGAAACTGATTTGTTGAATAATATATATTAGCTCACATTACTGGAAGCAGAATGGGTCATAGCGTACTTATTCTGAGGAAAAAAAGATTTAAGAAAGCATGCACCACTCTTTTGTTTTAAATGTTAAGATACTAGGAGTCCTGGTATAGCGCTGTGGGTTAATGAGCTGGACTGGAAAGTCAGTTTGAACTGCAAGGTCGGCAGTTCAAACTCACCAGCCATTCCTTGCAAACCCTATGGGTCAGAACCTACTACTCTATGGCACTTAACACAGAACAAAGATCATTCATACATTTCCTCCCTGCTACCAAGAAAATTACTTAAAAAGACAAGAGACTGACCACAGAAGTATATACTACAAAGCAGCAAGCAGCATTACTAACGAGTGTTAATGATATTTAATAAGTTACCCCTAATCTTGAGCGCGAGTACTGATGTAGTGTTGTAGGATCAGCACTGAACTGCTAAATTCAAGCTTGGCAATTCAAATCCACCAGCTGCTCTTTGGGAACCCCATACAGGGTCACTAAAAGTCAGACTGATATGACAGCACCTAACAATAACTCTTCAGTTGAACCTGGGGTAGGAAGAGAAAAGAGCCCTGATGTATGCAAAAGCATCCTCAACTACCGGATGTAGGGAAAGGGAAGCATTCTGATGACTGACAGTACAACTGCAGGCTGTCAAAGGATAATACATTTATAATGCAATGTTTTCTTAAAGAATGCTTAGAACTTCTGGAGTCCTGGTATGCTGCTTATAAGCACTTAATTGCCAAACACAAGGTCAGTGGTTCAAACCCACCAGCCGGTCCTAGGAAACCCTATACAGGATCACTGTAAGTCGTAACTGATGTGACAGCACTTAACAGCAAGACTTTGCAACACAGGTTATAAGGTTTCCATGATCCACCACGCTATCATAAGCCCACAAACTGATTTTATTTCATGACTACAAATATTTAAAACATCAAACTCTACACTGAGCAGAAATCCTATTTTGAGTAAATTCCATCCCCACCCCAATTCTCCAAGACCTATTCCTATTCTCTCCCCCTTAAGCCCCAGCCACTCAAATTTACATACATATTTCATCTGCTAAGC